AATGCCATTAGTAGGATCCAGCCCTGAGGGCTCCGTATGGGGGTGTCTGGGGTTCCAAGAGCTCTGGAAATTGTTTACACGATGTCCTGCATCTGGGAAAGAGAATTGTCTCATCAGATCCCCAAAGGGGTGCTCAGCCCATGAGAGGTTTGGACTCTCTAATGGACACCCTCCACCCCATTTCTATGTCTAGGTTGAGGTGCAGGGACTAGAAGAGGCTTGTCCCTGCTTTCCTGAGTCCCGAGTGTCCTCGGGGAGGGGCCCGGGACAGGGAAAACCCGATAGGCCAGGTAAAGTTTCCAGAGCTGGGCTTTGGAGTCAGACCATGTTGCCAAACCTCTGGAGCCTCAGTTTCCCCATTTGTCCATCAGGGCTGTTTATGTTGTGGCTAACTGCACTGCTGGAGCCCCTCTCCCTCCATGCAATTCTGAGCATGACATGTGGCACTCATAGTGGCAGGAATGTGGGTGTAAGGAGACCTGGGTTCCACCATTCCCTGGCTGGGCCTCAGTTTCCCCAACCATAATGCGAGGGGGTTGGACTAGATGAACTTGAGGAGTGGTTTTCAAACTGAGCCTTGCAGAGCAGTAGGCATTCTTTGGAAACCATCTGAAGACCAGAGGGGAGTGGAGGCCCCAAATGGTGGGGTTCTGCCCCTGTGACCCCTCAGCTCACTGTTTATCTAATTTTCATCTACAGAGTTTCCTTATAAGATTGTATTTGAAGAAAGGGTCTCAGTGATTAAACTCAGATGTTAACACTCCTTGAGTTGTATTGGGGCACAGGACTGTGTCTGCCACAAATGTCCCCAGCAAGTGTTTGCTGAATGCATGAATGGTTGGATTCTCAGCGTTCCTTGATTCTAGCTCTAAGCCACCTCCAGTCAGTCCATGAGCTGGTCTCTCTGTGCATGTATTTGTGCATGTGTGTTTGTGTGCTTGCGTGAGTGTGTGTGTGTGTGTGTGTGTTAGGAGATGGAAGTGGGGTGGGGAGAGAGGCCTTGTCTTTCAAGGAGGTCAGGGGACTGGCTGCACCCAGGTTCCAGTCCCTGAGTTGAGAGGGGCGGTGGTGGCCTGGGTTTCTATCCAGCCCTGGCACAGAGAGGTGATGCCCTGCTGGGTGGCCACTTAGCCTCTCTGGAGGTGACCAGCTGGCCATTGACATGGCACTGCAGCCTGGCCTTCCCTGCTGACCGTCTAGGGTTTGAGCCAGCCCTGGCAAGGCTCAGCCTTCCCAGCGCTCTGTCTCCACGGGAGCCGGCTTGGCTGGCCGATGCTCTGCACCTGGGGCTGGAATAGCCACTGCCACTCTCTTCTCCATGTCTTGCCATCAATGTCTGATGCTGCTGCCTGTGCCTCAGTTTCCCCAGCTAGATTGGAGGGAGGGGTGGGAACTAGGGGAGCTGTTGTGTGCTTAGGCTCTATTCTATGCTGGCCTGGATGGAGCTGATCTTCCCTTTTTCCATCCACCAGCTCTAGTGTGGGGCTCAGTGCACAGAGGGCCTTCCGAATACTTACTTCTGTTCCCGGAATGTCTGTGCTGAAAGGGCCCAGGGAGATGGTCCAGTCCTGTGGCTCTGGATTCTAGAGTCCTGGGGTTCGGTGAAGGAATTTCAGGTGAAGTTGAAGGGGGCAGCCGATAGGTAAGTCTCTGGGACCCCCACCTTTGCTTCAAGCAGGTTTTATCTACTTTAGATTTGGGAGAGCTGGTTTTGCAACTGAAAAGAAGATGTAGTCTTTTCCAAGTCTCCCATTTGGTGATGGAGAGTCAACGGCCTAGAGACGCAGCTTATCCAAAGCCACAAAGAGAGTCCACAGCCAATAATAACCACTATTTTTATTGAGGACTTACTATGTGCTAGGCATGATGCATGTATAATCTTTCTCAGAATAAACCAGTAGGTGCAATTATTATGCTCATTTGATAGATGAGGAAACCGAGGCACAGAGAAATGAAAGGACCACAGAGCTAGCAAATGACAGAGTAAGGATTTGAACTTGACTGCCCCAGACCTACTGCCAGGTTCCTTGCTGGGAGGTAGGGAGGGCAGCCTTCACTCCTGCCTTAGGTGGTCCCTGCACCTGGATCTGACATCTTCAACACAGCCCTGGGCATCTGGCTCAGAGCCAGCAGCTTGGCTTTAGGGGTGGCCCCAGCAGGAATGGAGTCCCAGGGCATGCGTTGCCTCCAGGATGAAAGGATGACCCACAGGAGGCTGGAAGAAATGGAGGACTGAGTGAGGCTTTTGTCATGACAACAGTTGGGGAGGCAGAGGTGGAGGAATGCCATACTGATTCACACTTTCCCTAGCAGAACTTCTGTGTGCCCTTGGAGACATCACCCAAACTTCAGGCCCTCCTGTAAAATGAGCCTTAAGGCCTCAGTGCTGCCCACTTCTGAAGGTTGATTAGGAAGGAAATTAATAGTCTTTTCAAACCCTCAAGCACCATGTGCCTAGGAGGGGTGTGCGGTTCGTTAAGGCAGTGGGTACTGACTTGGGAAGGGGGTAGAATGCCATCTTTACTTTTATTTTGAACAAGGCAAGACACACATAACAGATGGGGTGGGCTGGGCATGGTGGCTCACACCTGTAGTAATACTAGCACTCTGGGAGGCTGGGGCAGGAAGATCTCTTGAGGTCAGGAGTTCAAGACCAGCCTGACCAAGAGCGAGACCCCATCTCTACTAAAAATATGAAAAATTAGCTGGGCATGGTGGCGCATGCCTGTAGTCCCAGGTACTTGGGAGGCTGAGGCCGGAGGATCGCTTGAGCCCAGGAGTTTGAGCTAGGCTGACTCCACAGCACTCTAGCCAAGGCAACAGAACGAGACTCTTGTCTTCAACAAATAAAAGCAGATGGGGTGTATAACCGGGTTCTCTTCCCACTTGCTGTGTGTGCAGGGACTCGCTGGGCCTCTCTGTGCCTTTCTGCTTAGCATCTGTGCAGTGGGACTGTGGTAGGTGGTCAGCATGTAGATTGCTTTGCACCTCTCAACAGGGAGGAAAGAGCCAGGTGAAGGTCAGATGAGTGGGGCAGTCCCCCTGCATGCCGTCACCACTGCAGGGAGTCCCCTACAGGCACCGGGAATCACAGCTGGGAAGAGTGGCTTTTCCTGGCTCTGTGACTAGCCTGTGACCTTGGGCAAGTCACTCATCCTCTTTCTGCTACATCAGGTAAACAGGAATGCAACGTCTCCTCTTTCTACCTCAAAAGGTATTTATTTTGAGAAGCAAGGTCAATAATGGATGTGAAAATGCTTTGGGGGGAAAAAAGAAAGCATGATATAAATATAAGAGCTTCTTGTAACTCTATCATTCTGCTTGTTATGCTTTTGTTTTGCCTCTTAGCACTTGGCCTCAAAGCTAAGCTCAAAGCAGGCACTCAGGAAAGCCCTAATGAATGGAGACAGGCGGCTGGCGGGCAGAGCAAAAGCAGTCTGGAGACCTGCTGCTCCCGCCATTGACAAGCTGTGGGGTTTGGGGCTGGTCCCCCTCGCCCTGGGCTTGTTTCCCCATATGGAAACGAGGGGGTTGGGCTAGGTAATCTCTAAGGACCCTCCCAGCTCAGATGGCCCAGAAATGGGAATGAAGGAAGTGCTACTGTTCTTTCTTACATTAAGTCATTTCTCAAATGTTCATTGCCCATTCTACTCCCAGACAGGCTTCATTTCATTTTGCTCTCCTAACTGTCCTGCAAGGTGCACATGTGGCCAGCTAGCCACATACCCCCGTTTTATTGCTGAGATGATGGACGTTCAGAGAGGAGAGGCGACTTGCTCAAAGTCACACAGCTAGAAAATGACAGGCCTGGGATTCACACCCAAGCCTGAATGCAAGGGCCAATGCTCACCCCATCTGCAACATTGCCTCAGTCTCTCGTTTCTCAGCGCCCTTCCTCCTGTCTCCCCCAAGGGGTCTGGCCAGCCCTTTTTACACAGTTTGGGGAGAGGGCTGGGCTGGCCCCTCTACCAGGTGTTATGCCACTGAAACCCTCCCCCTGCCCCTCCAGCCCCACCTTAGGGCTGAGGGAGGGTGAACCTGACTGCCCTTCACTGTTAACGGGACCCCTTGCAGGGGCAGCAGGTTCAGCCGAGGTGAGACTCGCTCGGGCGACCTGGACGTGCCTCCTAGCCTTGTCTCTAGCAGGTCGCATGACCCTGGGATGGTGCCCCTTTCTGGTCAGCCCCGCTCTGCCGAGCAAAAGCCGTCTCCAGGGGGAGAGCAGGTGCTGCTGGCTCCGGGCGAGGATAACGAGCGCTCCTCACGCACCTTGCCCCCTCGGAGTTACCGTCTGCTCGGCAGATGCGCCTCCAGGCCACTGGGGCTGCCCCGGTCCCCCTCCCGGGATCGGGGAGCCCGCGCCTCGGCTCGGAGGCCGCGGTCTCTCCCCAGGGCTCCCGGCTGTTGCTGGAAGGGAGGTCCCCGAGGGCAGAGGGCGGCAGGCCCCGACGTCCCGGGCATCCCGGCGAGCCCGAGTGCAGAGGCGCTCCGCTCCGCTGCGGAGGGCGGGGCTGCCCCTCGCCCCCCCATCCTCCCCTCCCTGGGGCCCCGCGGAGCTGGAGTCCGGCGCTGCGGGGCGGGCGGGGTGGGGGGAGTGTGCAGCCCCCGCGGCGGGGCCCTCAGGGCCCGAAGTGGGGACCACGTACGGCGGGGGTGGGGGAAGGGGCTCCGGTTTGCCGCCGGCGAGGGAGCCCGGATCCGCCGGTCGCCCCGGTGCCCTCCGACCTTTTGCCCTCGCATCTGGCCTCCGGCGAGGTCAGCATCCGTCGGGCCACCCCCATCCCGGAACCCCCGCTCCCCGGATCCCGTCGGGAGGCAGATCCGGCGCCCCGGGCTCGGCCGGGTAAACACCCCGCGGGGGGCGGGGGAGGCGGCCGGCGGGCGGGACCGCGGGCGCTGGGGGCGGGGGCAGGAAGCGAGCCGCGGCCGGCCCGGCTGGCGCGGCCCGTGACGTCGCTCGGCTCGCAGGGATCTCTCCCCGCGGCCGCGGTCCCCTCCTCCCGCCTCCTCCTGCCTCCTCCCGCCTCGCCTCGCGCCCGGCCGGCATTTCTCGCTCGCAGCTCGCTCGCGGGCTGGCTCCTCCGTCCCTGCCTCCCTCTCCCCCCGCTCCTTCTCCCCTCCTTCCCTCTCCCACCCTCCGTCTCTCCCTCCCGCTCCTTCCCCTCGTCTCAGCGCTCCCCTCCGTCTCTCCGATCTAGATCCAGTCTCCCCTTCTTCTTTCTCCCCCTCTCCTTCCTCTCCCCGTCTCCTTCCTCCGTTTCCCCTGCCTCCCTCTCCCTGGCTGTTTTCGCCCGGTCTCCCTCTCGGTTTCTCCCCTCCCCGCCGGGTTTCCTCCCCCGGTGCCCTCCCTCCTCCCTCGCTCCCCTCCCCCTCCGCCCCGGCCGCCCCGCGGCTCGCAGCTCCCCAGTCAGCCTCTCCGAGCTAGCGCCGCCGCCCGCACCCGCGGCAAGACCGGCTCGCCCGGCTCCCCGGGGTGCGCCCTCCGCGGTCCCGCGCCCTCCGGGCTCGCAGGGACACCCTCCGCCCTCCCGGCTCGCGGCCCCGCCCGGCCCGGCCCCCGCCCAGCGCTCCAGCGCGCCGAGGATGTGAGTCCTGCTCGCTTCTGCCCGAGCAGCAGCCACTCGCGCGCCGAGCCGGAGCGCAGCGCAGCGGCGGGCGCTCCCCGGGTCGCTCGCGCGGGCGGCGCGCTCCTGCCCTAGCGGTGTCCCCCGGCCCCTCGCCGGCGCCACCGCCGCAGCAGCCCGCGGGCGGTCCCCGGCCGGCCGCCCCCGGCCCCAGCGCCGCTGACCCTGTCCGCCGCGGGCGGGGACGCGGGCGGAGGCGGTGCCGCCGCGGAGCCCCCGGACGCGACCATGTCGGAGGTGCTGCCCTACGGCGACGAGAAGCTGAGCCCCTACGGCGACGGCGGCGACGTGGGCCAGATCTTCTCCTGCCGCCTGCAGGACACCAACAACTTCTTCGGCGCCGGGCAGAACAAGCGGCCGCCCAAGCTGGGCCAGATCGGCCGGAGCAAGCGGGGTGAGTTCGCGGCCCCCTTCCCGACACCCGGTTTCTTCCGTGCTGCAGCCTGGACAAGGGTTTCGGGGGATCTCCTACCCGCAGGAGCCGGTCCGGACCTCGTGAAATCCCCTCCTGCAGAACTGGGGGATCCCGCAGTGCGGGTCCTGCTGGGGCGGGCCAAAGGGAACGCGTCCCCTCGGCCTGATCCCCTTTGGGGTCACCCCGGGGGCGTGGCAGCTTGTAGTGCAGCGGGGGCTGAAGGCTTATACTCGGGTCCCCACCCGCGCCAAAGTTTGCTTTTTGGTTTCCACCTTCCCGCCCCCCCCCTCCGTTTTGCGCAGTGTAGTCGCTGCTGCTCTCGCTCTACACCCCGGGAGCGGGGGTCCCAAGTCCCCTCTGGGGACGGCGTGGCGACCCCAGGGGGGAGGATCCCATTCCTGCCTGGAAGGCGAGGGACGCTCGGGTCGCCCGGGCTTTTCATTGTTACTTGGCGGGGGAGGGGGTTTGCCCGGCCGGGCGATCGGCGCGAGAGCTGGAAAAGCCGGGGAGAGGCTCCGAGAGGGGCTCCAGAGGCGCGGGGACAATGAGGGAGACCGACGGCCGCCGAGAGACGGAGACGCAGAGAGGGAGGGAGGGGGTACGGGGGGATCGGGGGAGGCAGAGACGGCGGGACAAAGCGCCAGAGAGGGAGCTGGAGCGGGAGGACAGCGAGCCAGGACGCCGGTCTGGGGAGGACGGACCAGCGGCCGTAACAATAGGGGCGACTCGCCCCCCAGGCAGAGAGATCCGGAGACCCCGACCGGCCACTGTCGCGCCGAGGGACTGATGGAAGGCCCGAGAAAGGCGAGGCTAGGTAGACACGATGAGAGAGGCGGAGGAGAGGGCAAGAGGCAGTCCCAGGCAGGCGGCGAAGGGACGGCTGACCTCTCTGCCCGCGGAGCGGCCGATCCGCCTGCCCGCGGCGCGGGGAGAGCGAGCAGGAGACGGGCGTCCGCCCAGGCCGGGCCGATCCCTCCACCGGCTGAGCCGTGGGAACCCGCCCCGGCATCCCCTCCTGGCTCCCGGCACCAACGCACCCAGCCTCGGCCACTCGCGCTGCTCTCGGGATTCCCAGAGGGGGCCCAGGGACCTGGAAACTTCGGCTCCCTCTCATCTCCTTTCGCAGCCTTGGACCCTTCTTTCTAAATCAGTGCGCCCGGTGGGCAGAGGACCCGGCCGGCGCGCGCCCTGGCTGCAGCCCCGGCGCTGGCTTCGCGCCCTCTCTGCTTCCTTTTCTCCGACTCGAGCGGGGACGCAGCCTGGGGGGTGGGGGTGGGGTGGTTCGGAGGGAAGCGGCGAAAGGGCCCCGGGCCGGGGAGGATGGGGCTGTTTCACCGTGCCGTGGCCCCCTCTCGCCCTCTCCCCCTCCCCCACGCTGGGTCCCCGCCAGTCTAGGAGTGGCGCGGAACGGCGGAGACCCCTGGCTAGGCCCAAGCGCGCTCACCTCTCTTCCCCCCGCTTTTTTGCAGTTGTTATTGAAGATGATAGGATTGATGACGTGCTGAAAAATATGACCGACAAGGCACCTCCCGGTGTCTAACTCCCTCAAAGACAATGAGTTAAGAACGGCGATAACAGTTATTGGCAAAAAGCATGAAATGAGAAAGCACTTCGAAATTTATTACTAGCTCGCTACCCACGATGAAATCAACAACCTGTATCTGGTGTCAGGCCGGGAGTCAGACGAGGCGCGAGGAGGAGGAGGAGGGGAGAGATTCCTCCTCCGCGGAGGATGGGCGTCTTGGACTCCCAGCCCTGTGCTGCCGAGCTTCCAGCTGTCCAGGGCGGTGGAAAGTCCGCCCACCGCGATCCTTCATATGGGACGTAGACCACTTCTTGGCTCACCTGCCTGGGTTCAGTCCTAGCTCCACCACTTTCCAGCTGCGGGCTCTTAGGCAGTGACTTGGTCCTCTGTGCCTCGGTGTCTTTTCTCTAAAATGGACTAATATTAACTATCTTAGAAAATACTATCTGACTATATATAACTTATTTAGAAGGTCTTGTGAATTGATGAACTAAATGCAGAAGTGCAGAACAGTTTCTGGTCTAAGCCAGCGTTGAGTAAATATTTTCCACTTTGGGAGTGAGTCCCACAGAGGCAAAATATTTGCCGGATGGTGGTCACAGAAAGCGTGCTACTTATGCAGACTGGATTAGAATGCATCTTCAATCCTTTCTGTCACCCACGGCGGATGCCGGGCATACTACTGGGATTCCCCCAAGGTTCCTGTGTTCCTGTGGCCCCAACCAACTCCCCTTTCTAACCTCTTGAAGTTCACAGTCATGGATGGTCATTGACCAAGCAGTGAGTGCCTGAACCCGAAGAGGCCTTGCTTTGCCAGCCCTGTCTCCCCTGCCAAGCACAAGTCACTCTCCCTGTTTGCAGAGGGTTGTTGAATTAATAGAATTTTAATTAAGTAACCTTCTCTCCCCAAAGCACACTCCCAGCAACTCCTGAAGCCCCGCACTCAGCTCTCTGCCTTGCAGGACTCCTTACCTGGACCACTTCTGTCATCACTGTCGGCCCCCATCCAGCCACCCCCATCCCATTTGTTGATTTCCATGGCACATGCCTGGTCTCCTCCTCCTTTCATCCTGCTCCCTGACTCCTCCCCCTTAGTGACCTTTGTCTTCAAACATCATGTTTTGGGTCAGGGACCCCTTCTCTTGGCCAGGCTGCACTTCCCCAGTTAAGAAAACTCCAATATTGAGGGGCAAAGGAAAACAAATCTCATCCAGAACCAGGGGGAAGGACGGAGGCCTAGGAGTGGTGAGGTGGGGCTGAACGACCGACAGCGCTGTCTTTTGGGGACTCTTGCCTGCCGGGAGGTGCTAGGCCTCTGTGTCCCCAGGGCACCCCACACATCCCATCCCAGCTGCCAGGTTCCTCGATACAGCCCAGTCGCCACAGATTTATTTTTGCATATGGTTTGGGAGAATCTCTGTTACTGGAACATGACAACCTTTTTTTTTTTTCCCTCTTCTTCCCTCCAATAGGCAGATTTTAAAACCAGAGCAGCTGCCTGAAGGTTCCAGAAAAAATTCTGCACAGTTCTAACCAGGGTGACAGTTCGCCTCCAAGGAAGTTGCTTTTATTAATTTTTTTAATTCTTTTTTTGTAAGGCTCCATCTATCGGTCTCAGGCCGCACCTTCAGCTTGGCTTTTTTGTTCTTCCCCTCCATTTGCCTGATTCCTGATGACATCTAAACCGCAGTGGCTCCCAACGCTGGGCAAGATGAACTACTGAAAAGTGGGTCACTCAAGTCGCCTGTGCAGAAGAATCCCAATAATTATGGAGATACTTCCCTCCAGGAGGTGACATGACTCCCTGCCCTGAAGTGAGAGCTATGCATAGTGATTTCTTTGCATGGAGTACAGTATGGAAGGGGCAGGGGAGAGGAATCGCAGCGAAGAAACTGACAAACACTGGCTCAGCCAGATGTTAATCAACATCAAACAGCGATAAAGTCATGTCTGTAGCACGGACCCTTGATACAATGGATGAGAACAGCACATACCTCCATGGTCTCCTTCCAAAGACATTAGGTGAAAACTAATAAATCCAAATAAACTGTGGAATTTTGTTAATTCTAATGTACCAGGTTGGTGCCTTACTTGTGAAAGATGTACCACAATAATTTAACAGTAGGGGAAACTGGGCAGGTGATGTGCACTCTGTACTATCTTCAAATTTCTTGTACATCTAAAACTATTCTAAAATACAAAGCTTATTTTTTAAGTGGGATCACGTGTTATGTTTCAGGCATTCCCCAAGACCCTGGTCTCGCTGTTCCCTGCGTTTCGCCAGCATTAAGATGATTGACTCTGGTTTTGGGGGTATCCAGCCCTAGGCCTAACCTCATTCATAAAACATCATCATTTTAAGCCCAGGAAACTCCCATTTATTCACCATAGTATACCCAGTTAGCCTGGCCACAGTAGTGCTAGTTGATATCTGTCAAATGGAATAAAACTTGGGATTTGTTGAAGGAATGATCCAAGTAGAAAGCCAAGTTCTTCCCTTCCCAGGGCAAGAAGTCAATACTTCTTAGTCTCCCTGCAGAGAAGGAAGACTTCTGGCAATCTGTTAGAAGAGGGAGAAGATCCTCCTGACGCTGCCTTGGGAACTAGGCACAGGATTTACTTAGATCATTATACTGGGGCTTTGGGAGCTGATGAAGATAGGAGAGGCAGGCTGACTCCCCCAAACCACCCACCCTCCTCACCCAAACTCCCACCTTTCCACTTTGGGCAGTGCAGCTGCCAGAAAATGTCTGCAAAGAAGCTTCATGAACAAGAACTGTTGGCTAGGTCTTAAAGGTCCATTGCTTGGCACACAGTAGGCATTCTAATATATTTCATATTGATGGCTCCATTTATTATCACCAGGCTGTGTGGGGAGGAGAAGGGTTCCCATCTATCCTGTGTGAGATTGTCATCATCTCCATTTTATAGAAAAAAAACAGAGGCAAAGAGATGAGAACCAACTCCAAAGTCACAAATAGCCAGTATAGAAGACAGGCTTCAAATCCAAGTCATCTGCATCCCAAACCCCTTCACCAGCCACCCTAAGGTCTGTCCCTCCCTCTGGCCAGAGCTTCCTGCCAGAGGCCCCCTCACTGATCCCCGTCATCCATGGCCTTCAAACAGCAGTATTTCAAGTCTCTTCTTTTAAAACTTAATTTGCCAATTTCCCCTTAGAGGTGCTTTTTGATGTCCTTCAGGCTGCAGCCCTAGAAGGCATGGGAGCGAATCCAGGGAGATATATGCTTATCACAAGCATTCAATTAGTTAAGTTTGATAATGCGGCCTGGCACGCTCAGGATCACATGCTCGGAGGCTTGATGACACCCTCCCCACCGTTTGGTCTTTTAATACCATTTTCCATATTTATTGCTAATCTAACAGATTACTGCAAACATATCCTACACTGTATATATTGATAATCTGCCCAGTCCCCAAAGTGCCCTCTGACAATGTTTACCTGATGTTATAGTATATTTAAAAACTTTTATTCCTTTGCTTAAATGGAGCGGCTTGGGGAGAGGCAGTACCCTGTCTTCTGAAAGCAGCTGAGCCGATGGGTGGCTCCAGCAGGAATGTTTCAATACATCATTATTAAAATGGCCCTGGGGCCCTGGCTGAGGGCTCTGGCCTCCCCGTTCCCAGCAGAGGGCAGCTCCGGTCTCGCTGACCACATCAACAGCCTGCCCCCCTCTGACCCTGCACACAGTGAATGGCAGAGAGGGACCGAGCCTCAAAAACAACAAAGCGACAAAGGAATTTGAGGCTGAAGGACAATGGCTGCAGCTGGGACTCAGCCTTGGGTCTGGGTCGAGTATTCTGCACCCCCCTCATGGGAGCGGGGAGGGGCTTGTGGTTTCCAGTCTCCCTCAGTGCCTTTCTGAGCCCCCCTCTACAAGTTTCTTCACCTTTCTGAGCCCTGGTTTCTCTGTGCCACCAGGGTAATCACGTGCCTGTTACATAGGGCTGTTGTGAGCCTGGCACGTAAGAGCTCCACTAATGCGGGTGCTGCGTGATCCTTCTAGCCCCTCTAGGCCCTCAATTTCCTCCCTACCGAGGAGAATGACTGCCTGTGGGTTTCCAGGGGTGGCTGGGAGGACTGCGCGAGAGAATGGGAGGGAAAGCACCTTGTAATTGCACAGCGCTTTGATCAGGTAAGTGGCAATTACTCCTGGGTGCGGACAGAACCTGCTGCTAGAAGAGTCTTTTTCATGAGTCCTGTTTTCTTTGGCAGATTGATGTCTGAGCAGAAGGTGGGCCCTGCCCCCCACTCCCTGGGCGGCCCCTCGGCCTACTCAGAGGGGAAAGCACAGGGATTGGCTGCTCCATAGTCCCTCATCAGCTCCAAGCACTGGGTCCCCAGGTCAGCAGGGAGGAGGGCCAGGTTTCTGGAAGAGGGTCAAGCACCTGGGAAAGTCAAGCCGGCATTCCCAGCCCTCTGCAGCCCGCCAGCTCCAGCCTGCCCCTGTTCCTAATAATGACTTGCTTTCTGCTGGGACCCCTAAGCTTGGAGGCCTCCACGCCAGGAAGGAGGATGAGACATCACCCCCATGGGCCCTCTGGAGCCCCTCTTCCTCTTCCCTCCTGAGCCTCTTACCTGATGTCTGAGTCACACTCAGGCTCCTGTCACTGTGAGGTGTGTTGTGACTCCCCGGCTGACAGTTTTACAACAAACACATTAAAAGCTCCCGGCACTGGGGCTTCTAAGATGCGTAACAGCCCGAGAAAAACCTCTCCTGGCCTTTCTTCGTCCACAATCCTCCTCCCAAACCCTCTCCCCTAGGGACCTGTTCCACCAGCAGTAACTGCCCCAAGCCTAACAAGGGGGCTGAGATTGTTTTCCATAACAAGCCTTTAGCGGTGATGGAAGGACTGAGCTCTGCAGCCGTAGGGCCAGAAGAGGCTGCTCCCTCCAGCATGACCTCTGGGCTCCAAGAAGGCGAAGGGTCTGGAAAAGAGAATAGCTCATCTTCAGCCCTGCCTTTGAGGACAGGTGGCCTCGGTGAAGGATTAAATGGGCATATAGTGGCCTGGTACTGAGCGTCCTGTGTGCTGGGTGTTGTGTTAATCCTCCCAATAAC